AGTTTCGAAGAAGTGCGAAATTGGATAGATGAATGGTTTCGGACCAAAAACGAGTCGTTCTATCGTCGCGGTATTCATGCATTGCAAGAGAGATGGCGAAAATGTATAGCTAGCGAGGGACGATACTTTGAATAAGCCGCTTTTTGTTTTTTCTTGAAATTTTGCATTTTTCATTGATCAAAAAAACCCGGAAACTTATTTGTACACCTAGTATTTCTTGGTGCCCCCCCGATATTTTTCGCAAGTCGGCGCTTATGACCATCAATGTAAGAATTAAAAATATAGAATCCAAACATCATGTTTATGTGATAATAGTAGGTCTAAAAAATAATTTGGATTTAAACTGAATTCGTAACAAAATATTTGAAAAAAAAAATAAACTACAAAGAGACACTTCAGGAGTTAATTAGACCGGAGTGTGGCAAACTAAAGATCTGTCTACTTAAACTTTGCCATGTACTAAAGGAAGGTTAGATTAGGTTTTATATAAAAATAGACGGATAACTAAAAAATTTTAATAAAAATAATGCTACTTAATTTCATAGATCGCATTAATTTTATAAAAGAATTTAGAAAGTTACTTATTATGTCTTTTACATAGCAAAAACAGAATTTTTTCCAAAAAATCAATTTTTCGGAAAAAAAACCGAAATTTTTCCAGCAATTTGAAAAAAACGGCTTTTTTAAAACTATAGTTTTTAGGGAATGAAAATTTATATTATTTAAATTATGTAAATATTACGTTAATTTTGCATCGAAACAGTGACAGTACGGCCAATACGTAACGGTATAGCCATTTTACGTCAATGATATACCTGCTACGTCCTTGGTTTATTGTGCTGTTCCATAACATTTATATACACTATGTTATGTAAATGTTCCAAAATTGCGCACAGCGTGTTTGCTGGGAAGAAATCGAAAATCACTAGGGCAATCAAAATATGTATAGGACGTTTTTTTTTATTTGACTAATAAAGAAATAAACTAAATATTATATAAATTGATTTCATAAGAAATTATGCATTTTGAGCTCTATATGTTACAGCATATTTTTGCATATTTCACACATAAGAGTATATTTTTGCATATTTTACACATAAAAGCATATTTTTGCATATTTCGCCCATACGTGCACAATATTTACATATTTTATCTATTTTTATTGAATATTTCATCGTTTTTTAATTTAAGTTTATGATTACGTTATTATAAGTTAAAAACTTAATTAATATTTTGAAAATTTGTGCAATAAAGTAATTTTCAAATGCATATATTCCTTTCTTTAGAGCATTTTTTCAATTTCACAGAGCATATTTTAGGCACTTAAAAAGAGATTTTTACAGCATAATTTTGGTTGCCCTATAAATCACTTTCGTAGGTAAGTATCCCCTCGAGTACTAATTTAATATGCGTTTACATCATGACCTAGTTTGTTCATTCTGTCGAATATTGTTATATAAACTTACCGATACGCATACACAGAGTCTTTTCGTTTTTTTTTAATATCGTTCATTGTTTCATTGTTTGTTTCTTCATTGATATCCCAACATATCACTGTTGCTCCTAACGAAGCATAACCGATTGCTAATTCCTTTCCGATACCATGACCTGCACCTGTTATCTATGATAATATATAAATACAATTTAAATTATAATTATTACATATTACAATACTTTTCGTTTAAAATAGCATAATTTCAAATTTTTATTTTGCTTTAAAAGGAAAAAATGAACTTTTGTTTAATAAAATACATATGAAAATAAATGTAAATAGAGCGTCTCAGTTTAAAGTTTAGAATACAAATCTATGTTTACAAATTTATGTGATATTTTTTGAAATAATACTTATTATTTATAGTAGTGAAAAAAAGTAGATATAAGATAAATGTAGGAAAATTTGTTAAAGGAAACATTAATTTATTAGAATTCAATTTTGTAAAAAATTTCAGAAAAAATTAGAAAAAAATTACGAAGCTTAGATAAGTCATATAGGATACACATATTTTTTTATAAACTGTGTATATATTAAGATTTTTGTACGCACCAAAACGATTTCATTAGCTACACTCTTTTCTTTTGTTGGCCTGATTAATCTGTATACATCGTTGAAAATACAATGTAGAATTTTAAATATAAGCAATAAAATCTCTGTTAAGAGCAAGATATATTTTACCACGACCATGATTGCCTAAAAGATTAACAATTTTTAAAAATAAGAACATCTAATATTGATTGAAAATATGTGTTAATTATATATTTCATTGAACTTTATATTTTTATGCGATTATGTGTATATATTATGTAATTGTGACGTTGTTATATAATTAAATATAATTAAATAATGTATAACTTTGTTTTTCAGTTTATTGCTAATACATTGCGTCAACATTGCGTAAGAAATAGAATGTTATAAAAAAAAAGATATTAGATCTAAAAAATATAGACGGTATATAAAAAAAAATTCAACATTTATATAACATATACCTAATAATATATAGTATATATTAACAATAAGGAAAAAAATCTTAAAGCTCGAAAACTCAACCGTTACTGAAATATAAATATTTTTATATGTTAATATTATAAATGATTTACGGGCTTCTTATACGTATGCGATGTTTACCTCAGTGTTTATAAATTGCCATGCATTCTGAATGTCTTCCTTCAATTTCCATACATACTTCATAACAGCTTTCACCAGCAATCAGTTATAACTGTGTAGTCATCAAATATGTAAATTCGCAATCGCCGGTTGATGATAACTGACTGCGGTGAAATCTTCTTATAAAATGATGTAACGCACCGGCAGGAATGGTGTCCCTCGGCGTTCGGCGCGCGACGCTACACATTCGTACCGAAGTTCACACGTACGTGTTACTGGAAGCACGGAGGAGGCGAGGAGCGCGAAGGGAGAATGTAATGGGGGGCGCTCCGATATTCCGTCCTTAGCGTAAGACGCACGATTGAGAGAGAAAGCGTAATTGGACGTAATGTCGGCTCGCGGTGTCCTTTCGCTGTCTCACACATTTGTTACTAGCGCGAGTGAGATCCCCCGGTGTCTCCCGCTCGCCAATATTCATAATATTTTTATTATGCACAAAATGATGTAATTATGCATAAAAATTCTTAATACTGTAAAAAAATTTTGTGCATAATTACGTGTAACTTTGAGACTCATTGTAATAGCTTTGCATGCTTCCAGTAACACGTACGTGTGAACTTCGGTACGAGTGTGTAGCGTCGCGCGCCGAACGCCGAGGGACACCATTCTTGCCGGTGCGTGTACTACATACGGAAGTCAAATGAGTATGTTCAAAATGCAATTTATAAATAACACTGAGGTAAATATCTAAGGTACACATTTCACGATCCGAAAACTCGGATCGAGTTCTAGCATCGTAGACACAAGTGTAAGGTCCTTCGTAATAAAATACAAAAGATGAAGGATATTTGGATTTCTATCTCATATGTTTAATCCAATAATACCCGTTATTGAATATATCTATTCGTTAAGGAGATATTTTATATCTCTTTTGACAGGATGCCTGAAGGCGAAGGAATAAAAAGTTGCGATATAAACAGTCCTGACACTTTTACTCCGATCACTGACTTTATTCGACAACTTAAGACTTTAACGAGTATAATCGACACTCGGGCGGAATTCGCTTTCCTCGGCGCTTTGAGTATAACACTCGGAAGAAAACCTTGGAAATTGGCGAGAGACCGTGCTCCGAATATGTGTGCTCCGAATTTTATAACCGTCGCCTCTCTTTCGGAGCGGACAGTGCCGTTGTTACGAATACGTACTAATATCGTTATCAGATTAAGTTACAGATGTCGGTACAATTCACTTTCGGTAATTATCATGAATGCTCAGCGAGACCTTATAATATTCTTACACAAGGCTTATGCCACGATTCAAAACAATAGAAAGAATATACGCATTCGCTCAACTCGCGCTAACTTGCGCCAACTCGCACGATAATAAAACTGCCAGTAGTGGAATTCTGTAATTCGTTATGCAGTCTTTACGAGTTCATAACGACAGTTGCGCAGCTTTTTTACCACCGCGCAGATATTTTTTATAAAATATCTGCGCGGCTGTCGTTATGAGCACTTAACGATTGCATAACGAGTTACAGAATTCCACTGCAGATGCGCTAACGTTAACCAGAATTCTGGTAATGTTGCATATATCTAGTGAATATAATTAGATGTTTTGTAAATTCAACTGGAAAATGTTAAACAAATCTTTATAATCTACCAAACGATCTAGTTATAAAACCTTGAGTCCTGTTTTAATAATCAGATTTCTGCTAGATTTAATCTAAATGCATTTAACCATATACATTTTGTTGATACAATCAAATCATTTTTCTCAGTGAATGGATAACTTATTTGACGCAACAGTTTCTAAACTCTATTGTGAAATGATTTTGTTATTCATTAAAATTTAAAATATATATAATTAGTTGAAGATAGTAATTCATACCTGCGTCTGAACAAAACTCATATAATTAATATTGTCTTATTACTTTTGATGGATATCCTACTCGCTTATAGCACACATCGACTTCTGTAGTATTCTAAAGAAGGGATATGTTTTTATGTTTGTCATTTCATCTGAGTGAAGAGAGGGAGAGATCTGATGTATAGTAGGAGAAGTGATGTTAAGGAGAGGAAGATATGTATCAGGAAATTTGTCAGTGTCATTTTGTTCATTTAAAGGATGGGATTGTTTTTTAATGAAAATCTGTTGTATTGTAATTTCTGTTATTTATTTATGTGTTTCTCAATTTATTTAATTAAATGTTATTTTATATTCAGACTGACTCAATCTTTCATGTGTTTCACCAGTTTTCGGACTATAATTTTTACGTATTGACTCTTACTTCGCCCTTTATTTATTATTTTTATTTTTATATAAAGAGTCCTTCTATTATATTTGTTTAATGTTAATGAAAATCATTTCGAAGATAGATTTTTTTTTATAAAATAGTTCAGAGTCAAATATCTGAATGTCATTCCAATTCAAATCATGTTCATAGTTATATTGGTGACTAATTACTGAATGCAAATTCGGTGATTTTTTTATGTCCCTTTTATGTTCTTGTATTCTGGTAATTAATTTTATTTTTGTTTGTTTTTTTATTTTTCCTCCCACATAGAAGGAATCACAATCGAGATAGCATATTTTATATACGACGTTACAATGTTCCATTTTTTCTAACTTATCTTTATCTGATTTAATGTATTGATTTAAATTCATGAGTTTGTATGCTATATTTAGTTCATGTTTTTTTCTAATTGTCTTAAACTTTTCAGAAATTTTATTTATATATGGAATTGTGAATATGGTATTTTTTCGAAATATTGTTATTAGAATGCTGTTTGTAGATAATGTTTTCATATAAATTATTCCTGTTAGATAAAGTTTTTATTCTGTTATTAATGGTGGAAAAAATCATCTCTAAAGGATACCCATTGTTTAATAATATGTTAATCATATCTTCAATGTTTTTACAATGAAATTTTGGGTGTGATAGAAATAATTCTATCTAGCTGTCCAATTATCACTCCTCTCTTGTGTTCTAGAGGGTGGTTCGACTTATAACTTATTAAGTACTCTACCGGAATTTGTTGGTTTCTTATACGTGTCAAATGTAATGCAACTTTTCATGATAGGAATTGAATGACTCAAGTATTGGAAAAATCTGATTTTCAGGATGACTAGATCTTATTTTATACGTTATAGTAACTTTATTAATGAATGAGAAAGATTTACATTAAAATTCTTCGAAATACAATTTTGTCCCACGATTATCATATTTTCAGGGTAAACTCCAAGAAAAAATTCTCTCCGTATGTAGTACATATTGTGACAGACGGTAAAAAACGTCACATCACGACTATGTTAGTCTTGCTTTTTCTTTTAATTTACATGTTATGCTGTCAACTTTTATTGATATCACGGATTCACTAACTTATTGTACAAACCGAGATGGTTCCTTATCAGCGTTGATAAATCGGCTTAATTTCTATCAACAAAAGAAACAAAAATTATGCAATTATCCAATATGAGACAGCTAAAATAAGGAAGGCTAAGAAGGCTAAAATGCAATAAAGATTATTCTCAAATTACATTGTTGCGTATTCAACTGTCTTACCACTACCGGCCAATGAAATAGAATTATAGAATAGGAACGGTAATGGGCGTGAATACCGACACATTTCAATTTCAAGTCAAAAAACCGAATTTGGACAGTTCTGAATACGCAGTTGTGTTGAATTTAACATAAATCGCATGTCTCAAACGATCCACTCAAATTTTTGAGTTAATTTTACACAATGTGAATATGTTAGAAGGTAACACAAATATTATGTAAGAGAATAAATACAAAAAAAATAACATCGACACAGTTTGTAAACAAACCATGGAAATATTTTTTTTTTTTTTTTTTCAGAAAATTAACATTTATGATAGGAGAGAGTGGTCTAAATTGGACTTATTTGCAATTTTTGCTCTCTATAAGGTGTAAATAAAGTCCGATCGTAAAATCGAAGGTGCCGTTGGAAAGATCATTTAATTCCCTTAAATAATGATTTACAAGGATTTTCTTTTTTAAAAAAATTTTCGCACGATGGCCGAAAATATATATGTATTTGCCTCTATTTTATGAATGTTATGACAAAGAACTGTCAAACTGCTATCATATGTTCGGTGTCTTATAAGGACTTTACATTATAAATAGTACGCAATCTGCTTAACCGTATTCATTTAAATTAAAAAGGCCCTATTTGGAACACGGTCCAATTTAGACCACTCTCCCTATGTTAAATTAACACATATTTTACTCATTTGTCTTAGAATTTACGTTTTAAAACACATTATTTTTATGTTACTTATTCACTTACTCATAAATTATGTCATTTTGACACTAAGAAACATTGAATATCAATTTCACAAAAAATCTTTAAATAACATAATTACATTATGTTAAATTAACACTCGAATATATTAAAAAATTCAACACAAACTGTTAACACAAATGTCAAAATATCGTTTCCAACACAAATACATAAATTTTTTTACTTAAAATAATACTTTATGCGCATTATGCGTGCAAAACGCAGTCTATCACAAACATATTAAACTTTTTTTCACGTAAGTCTAAAGATTAATCAGTGTAATTGGAATTGTTATATATATGTATTTATAAAAATAATCTCTTCAAGGTTTGACTTTTAAATGCAAGGACTCTATCAAGCGCATACATGAGAATGCAGAGAAAAAAGAAAGATTAATTTTAATTTTTTATGGCATGTTTTTTGATAAGTTGACAATTTTTTTTCTTTTCTTCATTTAATTACTAATTCTCTTTAAAAACAAATCTGCTACTTCAGGAGGAGATAATGGAAAGCAGCAAAACATAACATTACATTATGTACATTTTTATTTTAGAATGCGATAATAAAATGAATTAATAATGATATGAGATTGTGGGAGAATTAAGATGCGATCAGTGTCATATACTTATAAAACTTATCAATAAATAAAACAAGGGCAAACGAGCCAACTACAATATAAGATCTTTAATAAACGTATATATATACAATAATCAAACGTTTCGACACCGATCGGGTCAATTTACAATAACAAAACATCTTACATACATAATCAGAAATTCAGTTAGAATATATTGTCCAGTGAGAATTTGGTTATATTCATAAAAAGCAGTCCATATTTAAAACTATTGAAGAGATCAAAACTCATTCTACCATCTGGATAAATAATAAATTAACGTTGCGTTATAAATTAGATAAACGATGTACATGTTTAGTAAAATAGATTAGAGAGAATGTAAATTAAATAAAACATATATACCTCATATTGTCTCAATGATGTAATGTGGGCAACGATAGGAACACTCAGTTAACAAAAATATATTTAAAAAAAAAGTTATGTATAATAAAAATTATTAAGCCATGATGCGCATGAATATAGCGTTTAGACTCAATCGACGTCAAGCGACGTTATGACAAAAAGAAAACAAGGAAATAGGAAAGATAATAAAGAAGGAGACAAGGACATTGTTAGGAGGGGGAAAGAGATTGGATAATATTTAGGTATGATTCTGGCAAGGATTCTGTGTCATTTTGTTTATTTAGCCCATGCGTTTGTCGTTTTATGTGAACCATCTCCGATATCAATCTCTTATTAAACGAAGCTTCTCTGTCTAATATTTCCACATTATCCCAGTCGAAATTATGATTCTGGTCAATGCGATGACAAGTGATGACTGTTGGGGATTTTGACTTCTTATTGATATCGGAGACATGTTCGTGCAATCTTGTCTTTAATTGTCTTTTGGTCTGACCCACGTAACTGGCTTCACAATCATCACAAGAGATCTTGTAAACTACATTTTGATTAAATAAGGGATCTAACTGATCTTTACCCTTTTTAATGAATTTATTTAATGAGTTAGGTATCGAGAAGGCCAATTTACAATGACACATATTGGCTAATGGAGCAAACTTTTCCGACACCGAATTCACATAAGGAATCGTAAAAAATTTTTCTCTTATCTTTTTCTCAACCATTCCATTTTTATTGATGTGAAACTTTATTCTTTTTTGAATAGACGAAAAAATGAAATCTAGTGGATAGCCGTTATTTAAAAAAATATTTATTGCCTTAATCAAATTGTTTTGCTGGAAACGTGGATGACACAACCGTACAATTTTATCGACCAAACTGTAAATAACCCCCCTTTTATGACACAGTGGATGGTGTGAATTAAAATTTAGGAACCTGCCAGAAAACGTCGCTTTGCGATATAAGTCAAAAACTAGAGTTTGATCTTCCACAATCAACATAGTATCCAAGAAACTTAGTTTACCATCTATGCCAACCTCCATAGTGAATTGTAATCTACTATGTAAAGAATTAAAAATGTTTAAGATGTCATTAATACTATCAGATGGAGCCGCTAAAATAATATCATCCACATATCGAAAATAAAATAAAAGCTTAATAGGTAATTTTTCAATTGCTGTTACTTCGAAATCTTGCATGACTATATCCGCCGCAATTGGAGATAACGGAGAACCCATCGGAGTACCAAAAATCTGTCTGTAATATTTGTTATTAAACATAAAAAAGGTGGAGTTCAAAACAAAACGAACAGCAATTAAAAATTCATTTAATGGTATAACAGTCTTCCCCGATATATAATCCCATCTCTTTGCAATACCATC